AAAAAAAAAAAAAAAAAAAAAAAAAAAAAAAAAAAAAAAAAATTAAAGATGCCGGAGCAGAGGGACGCAGCGTGCCCCCCCTTCCCTGCATCACTTTCCGAACATTTCAGACCTGGTTTCTGCAGCGCCGGGGCCGCCGGCTAAAAATAAAGGGATGCGGAAAAGGAGGAAAGGAGGAGGGAGGGGGTGGGGGAAAGGAAGAAAAATATGGATATATCTATATTAAAAAATATATAATAATAATTTTAAAAAGCCAACCGAGCCCCCCTCTCCCCGAGCCCGGGAGCCACTCACCGGGCGGCGCTGGGTGCTGCGGCGGGGCGAGGAGCGGGGCTACGAGCTGCCCATGCCGGCAGACCCTCGGCGGGGCGGCGACAGGAGGTGCCGAGGTGCCCCGCTGCCCGGCGGCCGCTCGCTGCTCCTGCTGCCCGCGGCGGCGGCTGCTCTGCGCTCGCTCCCAGCCCCTTATATACCGGCTGGAGCCGGTCTCCGCCGGCGGCTCCGCAGCGCCATGTGCGCGCCGGGCCCGGCTCGCCCCAGCGGCGGCGCCGGTACCGCGTGTGCCGTGGAGGGGCGGTGCTGGGAGCGCGCCTCGATGGGGGGGTGCGGAGGGGTGGGGGGAGAGTTGTACGGCCGGGCGGCCCAGCACCTGCTGGCAGAGGACTGTCCCCAGCCCGGCTAATAGCGGCTCCCTGACCCTCGTGCTGCGGGTTCTCCAGCCTTGAGGCTGTTTATGGGCGGCCCCCGACCCTACTGCTGGGTCTGCAGCCTTGCTTGCCGTCGGGTCCGTAGCCCTGGTACGTGGGGTTCTGCAGCCCTGCTGCTGCGGGGTGGTCCCGGCTCTGGAAGTGGAGGGTCCTTGTCTCTTTTTTTGGGGGGGGGCGTCCCAGCCCTGCTGCTGGGTTTCCAGCCCAGTTACTGTGGGGATCCTCAGCCTTGCTGCTGGGGGTTCCCAGCCTTGGTACTGGGAGAGACACCAGCCCAGTTGGGTCCATAGTCCTGGTACTGGAGGGTTCCCTGGTCCTATTGCAGGGAGGGTATCAAGCCCAAATGTTGGGCGATTCCCAGCCTTGTTACTCTGGGATCTCCAGCTCTACTACTGGGGGGTCCCTGACCTGCTTACCAGGAGATCCCCAGCCCTGCTGCTGGATCTGCAGCCATGCTACTAGGAGTCTCCACACCTGGTGCTGGAGGGTCCCTGACCAGGAGAGTCTCCAGGTGTGCTTCTGGAGTCTCCAGCCAGTTGCTAATTGGGGCTGGGGTGGTGTGTCCCAGCCATGGTACTGGGTCATCTCTGGTCCGGTTACTGGGGACTCAGCACAAAATGTGATAAAAAGGGTAGAGGGGAGCAGGCAGTGCCTTTGGGGAGCAGCGTTAAGCATTACCAGGAGAAGGTCTGTGTTTACTCCATCACTTCTGCCCGCTGGGGACTTGCAGAACCTGGCGCTAGGTTTGCACTAGGAAGCTAAATGTCCCTTTGTTTGCAGAGTGGTGGGATCGTAGTGTTCTAGAATGGCTGGGGCTGGAAGGGTCCTTCAGGCAGTAGTGCTGCAGTGCCCAGCTCGCCATGCCAGATGTGGCAGGCACAGATGGACTCTGCCCACACTGCGGGGATGATTTCGGGGCCTCACACCTTTAGGGCTCACAGAGAGGGACTTTTACCCATAGATACCAGTGGAGCACACCATACCCCTGCCCCGTGCTCCTTCCTGCACTGTGCTGGGTGCACTTTGCTGGGACAGTGTGTAACCTGTTGATTCTGGTTTATACAGCTGGAAAAATAACCCAAATGAAACTGCTCCTTCAGTTCCCAACCTCTCAGTAAACCCCAGTGCTTTAGGTTGGGCTGGAGTCCCTTTGCTTTTTTTTTTGTTTTTTTTTTTTTTTTTTTGTTTGTTTGTTTTGTTTTTTTAAACAGTGAAGATTGCAGAGGTTGGGCAACAAACTTCTGGGAGGTTGGGTAAAGAAGATACAAGTTCCACCTGGTAACTTAGACACAACCCACAGATTTCTTGCAGCAGCACCAACCCATTGGCCACTCACTGATGCTCCTGTGCTGGCAGGGCAGCTTGGCGCTGAGCCTGCTATCCCAGCTGTGCCATGCCCTGCGGTGCATGGTGAGCACCTCTCACGTTTCTGTTACACAGCCTCACCTTGGCGTTGCCCTCCCCAAGCTGTAATTCAGCCCAGCAGTGACAGCGTGAGCGCTTATGGGACGACAAAACAGGTTGTGCCTCCAAGGGAGAAATAAGAATGCAGATATCTTTGGCATGAAAACAAACAAAGGCGTTTGCTCCTTGGTGTTTCTTGTCAGTAGGTTGCATCTGTCCTTTGGCTTTGCCTTCTCGTTCCTTTCCCTGCTGCTTCCCAAGGATTCGGGGAGTGATTTGAGGTCTTGAGATGAAGCTCTGCAGAATGCCATGAAAAGCAAAGCCTGACCATGGGCACAGCGCAGGGGGCAGCTGCTGGGAAGCAGCGGTTCACCCAGCACTGTGCTGCCCATGTGGGGCAGAGACCTGGAGCTCAGTTATTCAGCTCGGGTCTGTCCAGCACTGCTCTGTGTGTGTAATGCTTTTCCTCAAAGACCGAATGGTGAGATGAGTGGAAAACATTCTCCGGTCTCAGGATCTGGCAGAAATCCTAGTTAAGTCTGCAGAAGTATGTTTTTGTCAGTGCTGCTTATTCTGCGAGGGGAGCTTGTATAAACTATTCCAGTCGGAAACCTTTTCCTGGAATGGAGTTCTGACAGCTCAGAACACTGTTAGGACAAGCGTTACCAGGAATGGGCTCTGCTCGCACTGCGGAGGCTGAATGGGGCAGTGAAAACGCTCGCACACAAAGCACTGCCTGCCCTTTGCTGTGTTCAAATACGAAAATAAAACACCTGCACGTGGTAAGGTGGAAACAAAACAACCTTTCCCCTTACCACGCTGTGTCCATCCCAGCAGCCGCGTGGCCGCTTGCAGCAGCAGAGCTGCTGTTTGGGTTTCTGCTGTCCTTCTGCATCCCCACGTGCCGTGGCGCCGGGGCACAGCGGTGGAGCACTCTGAGCACCACAGCTGTCACCTGGCTCCACGGGCCTGAAAATGTGAAGGAATGTGAAAAACATGAAAGTCATCATGCTGGCCCCGAGACTGCAAACTTGTGGTTAATGTGTAATAAATACATGGCGGATCCTCTGGCTGGGGCTCTGTTGCAGGCAGCTGGGAGCTGGCGGTGGCATCCCTGGGCTCAGCCCCAGAAGCACCTTTTCCTATTCTGCCTTTCCCAGCAGTGTCCTGCAGAGGCTGTGAGGCTTTTCTGAACTGGTTTGTCTGGTTCCACCTTATCCCCCTCTCTTGCTATCTGGCATGCAAAAGCACACTTTCACTTTGTTATGCAGCACCCATCTGACAGCCAGCTGAGCTGCCCCTGTGTCATAGCGAGCCGCACAGTGCTGGCAGTGCAGCACCCTGAACCTCAGTGCGGGCTGTCTGGCGAGTGGAGGAGGTCTCAATTCCTGCAGGTAATGCTGGAGGTCAGAGCTGCCCATGGGGACGGCTCCTCTGGCACAAGGGAGGGAAGCGCGTGCCGCGTCGTCACGTCCCACTTTTCCATTTGTCTTTCTTAAACATCTTTTGGAAACGGCTTCTAAAATCGGAGCTCAGATTCCCTGTCTGACAGCAGCGTATAAATTTTGGCCCGGCTGACTTCCCCCTGTAAATTAGAGAGAATAGAATGTCCTTTGAAAACGCTCGTGATTGTTTTTCTTAGCTGTGTTACGCTGGTGTACCTCCCCAAAGCAAACAGGAGCCCCTGCCAAGTTCGGGGTGACTCCGCTATCTGGATGCTCTGAAGGCGTAGGTGTGCCTGCAGTCTGCTGTGACGTGTCGCCCCTGCCAGGCAGTGTGCCAGGAGAGCCCTGCAGCCCTTGTCTTAGCAAGCAGCTTCTGAGACGCTGGATTTTTACATTTGCCCCCCTTGCCTTTTCAGCAGATAGCACGGGGGTTTGATTTGTGCCTTTGCAGCTCAGACAAGGATGGGTTTTGGAGGGCTGTGGGGAGCGGTATGGGGCAATCCTCAGCACAGGGTGAGGTTATGGGGCTGGCTTCTATGGCATGGCTTCCTGGCAAAGCTGCATCCATCTATGATCAGCACGTCCCTATGGGGGGCTCAGCTTTGTCCCTTTTGGTCCCCCTGAATCTACTGCAGTGGGCGCTGAGGTGTTGGTGGCACTCCCCATCCCCCTGCTCCGTCAGCATGCTGGCAGCCCTGGCACATCACTCCTGTCCCCAGCCCTTCTGTGCTAAAGCAGCACACTGATGTGGTTTCCCCTGCCATTTCTGGATGGCAGCCCTTTCACCTGCAGGTGGCCTTGCTCCGGTTGCTGTGAGGGGTGGTGGCCCCTGGAAAGGGCTTTGTGCCCACACATGGGGAGCAAATCTTTCTAAAACCATTCAGTGCTGGTAGGGAGGAATTGCAAGCACAGCTCCATGTCTTCTGTTTAGATAGTGCGTGTGAAATCTTACATAGGTTTCTAGATAGATATATTCACCTGGTCAGTAGTGAAAAGGAGAGCATTGGAGCCTTAACTTGGTCCTCCCCAGCCAGAGAGCTGCAACGGGGCTGAGGTCCTCCCCGCGCCCAGGTGAATTGATGCTTTCAAGCCCTTTTCCTCCCCAAAATCCCAGGGGCTTCTCAAAGAGATTGCAGGCATTTTCTGGTTGTTCTGCAGCTGGGTGTGCAGGGCTGAGCTGTGGCTCAGGGTGTGCGATGGCCCTGTGACACTGCGCCCATGGCTCGTCCTGCTGTGCTGCCTGCTGCTCAGCTCACGGAGAGCTGCAGGGCTCTGCTGGGAGCTGGTGAGTTAAAGCACCAGGCCATGAATTATGAATTGAGTTCTGTCCCTAATGCTGTGATGAAAGCCCTGATTCTGCCCATCTGAGCGACAGCCCTAAGCTTTTAAGTCACGCACAGCGAAACCTGCAAATAAATTGTTCTGCCAGCTACGAAACTCTTGGCCTACAGATGGGGCTCATCGTATTCCCTCTCTTGCTTCCTTCTGTCATGTTGTCCTCGTTTGTTTGTGACCATCCCCTCCCTCCCCTCCCTCACACTTTATCTCTGTGACTCTTGTCCTGCTTGGCTGCACGTCCCCATGTGCTCAGGATGCTGGGTTTCACAGCTGTTGGTTTTTGGATTGTCTGCTCTTGTTGCCTCTTTGCCACTTGGAGACAAATCCTGCCCTAAGCAGCCATCCCAGCTTATAGTTTTCAAGTGCTGCACTTACTTCTCTACGCCTAGAAATGCCAGGGCATTATTGCATTTTTGGTTTGTCTGGATTGCTGCATGATTTCAACCGTGTGCACCAGGCGGCAGGGCAGCA